TTGTATTTTTTGTAGAAACAGGGTTTCTCTGTGTTGATCAGGCTGGTCTTGAACTTCCGACCTCAGGTGATCCGCCTGCCTTGGCCTCCCAAAGTGCTGGGATTACAGGCATGTGCCACCATGCCTGGCTAATTTTTGTATTTTTAGTAGAAACAGGTTTTCCCATGTTGGCCAGGCTGGTCTCAAACTCCTGACCTCAAGTAATCCACCCCCTCAGCCTCCCACAGTGCTGGGATTACAGGTGTGCGCCACCTCTCCTGGCCTCAAAGACATTTTAATAGGGAATCATACAAAGGGAAGATATGTCTGAAGGAATAATTGGACCCAAGACTTCCTTCTAGAAAAAATGTCATTTTGGGCTTGGCATGGTAGCTTATGCTGTAATCTCAGCACTTTGGAAGGCCAAGGTGGAGGCATGGCTTGAGGCCAGGAGTTTGAGACCATGCTGGGCAACATAGTGAGACCCTGTCTTTTTTTGGCCAGGCATGGTGACGTATACCTGTAGTCACAGCTGCTCTAGAGGCTGAGGCAAGAGGATTGCTTGAGCCTAGGAATTTGAAGCTTCAGTGAGCCATGATCATGCCACTGCACTCTAGCCTGATGACAAAGCAAGACCTTGTCTCAAAAAAAAAAGTTATTTTGTTTTCAAAGGCAGATTTTGTTGTTCTCAAATACGTGGTCATGCGATGGGCAATTTGTACTTGTGTGAAACAGATACTTTTGGTTAAATAAGTTATGAGGGGTGGATCTGGAAGGAATCAGATTCTCTAGGAAAGGAGGTGCAGATCTTCCTTTGATTTACTGACAGGTGGTGGTCAATGCATCATCAAGATTAATGCTTAATTATGACCTCAACACTTATCTCACCAATACCGTCAATTCAACTGTATTCAAGCTTTTCATCACCACTGGCAGAAATGGTGTCAATCTTAAAGGTCAGGAATCTCTTTATGGTTTTAGTGATTGTTCCTATCTTTCTCATTTTCCCTCAATTCATTTATCCCTTTGAATTAGCAATCTAGACTAAGCTTTTTTTTTTTTTTTGAGACGGAGTTTCGCTCTTGTTACCCAGGCTGGAGTGCAATGGCGCGATCTCGGCTCACCGCAACCTCCGCCTCCTG